GCATCAGCCCACATCTCCCTCCATCGTCTCCCAGACCCCTCTCCAGACGACAGAGAGAAAACAAACAAACAAACAAACAAACAAACAGGAAAGCTTCCTCTCCAGAGCTCTAGTCGAGACCCCAAAGCAGCCTCCACCTTCTCGGAAGACTCAGCCCAAGGGGGACACGGCTTCAGGCTTCCACGCCAGGCCTCTGGTGACCAGGATTCCTTCCACGGGAAAAGGGGGTCAGAGACCCCCGAGCCGGCCCGTGGAGGGCTGGGTCCCAGGGGGGCGGGAAGAGGTGAGGGAGTTCCCAGGGGACAGCCCAGCTGGCGAAGTCAGACACACTGCTTCTGGCAAGCCTGGACCGCCTTCCATGCCCAGTTACGGGCACCCCAACTGCGCAGAGGTTGGGAAATATTTGAAAACGTGGGAAATCGGGGTCCAAACTGTCAATGTCCCGGGGTGGGACACCCGGGCGCTGCTGGCGGCACCGTGGTAAAGCCGGGGGTTCCCGGGGAGTGGACCCCTCACCCGCCTTCTTTGCCCTCCTTGCCCCCCTCCTTCCACACCGAGGCCGTCATCTCAGCCCTGGGGGTCACCCCGACCGACCAGAAGCCTCTGCGGGGGCCCCCCCACGTCAGGCTGGGGAGGCCGGTGCTGGACGGGAGCAACTGCCCAGAGACCCCCCTGGGTGGGCGCGTCCCCGCGGGCGTGGGCGCCTATCAGCTCGGCGCGCGCGCGCACGTACCGCGGTCCTGTCCCCCCGCGGGGGGCCGTCCCAGGAGCTCCGCGTCCCTCCTGCTCCATTGCTGCGCTGGGTGGAGGCGCCGCTCGTCTCCCTCAGGCAAACGGAAAGTGGATGCGGGAGCCCCGAGGCCAGGAAGGCAGGGCGGGGCCGCCGGCGGGGCCTGGAGCTGGCAAAGCGCGTTTCCGAGAGGGAGAGGTTCCTGCGAACGGGTGTTCACAACGACCGATTTGCCCTCCTCCAACCGTTTTTCTCCCAGACCCCCAGCCCGCTCCCCTCCGGCACCTGTGAGTCTGTCTTCCTTCCGTTCGTCCCTTCTGTCCCTTAATTCCTCGTCGATAGCATTGTCATGGCTGTGCGTAGGGCCGGATGAGTGGTAAACTGTGTAAATGTCTAACCAGAGTAATATGCACCTGAAACTAATAAAAAAAAAAAAAAAGGCGGAGGCACAAATACAGCCAGGGGGAAGTTCAGAGATAGGGCCGGTCACGGGGTGAACGTCAAGGGCGGCTGGACTTGGGCGGGAGGGACGGGCGCACACTTTCCTGGGGTTCACTAAACCATGCACCTGCAGAAAGGACGGAGGGTGGCGAGCGGGTGTGGCCCCCGGGCCGAGCTTCAGAAGGGTCCCTAGAGACTGTGGCTGCGTGGGGGCCCGGGGGGCTGTGTAGGTGGCTTCTCGTTGCTGAGAACAGAAGCAGTGGCACTTTCGGGGGGCTCCGAGTGACCCCAGCCAGGCTCTGCCACCCCCTCTCGGCACACCCCAGACCCTTTCCCAGGACTGAGCTGGGAACACGAAGGCGACGTGTCTCTCAGCAGCGCTCACCTCTGCGTGTGCCCCGAAGCAGCCTTTACCGCGTCGGGTCACAGTCCCTCGCCTTCTCTCCTTCCAGGAAGACACCCTAAAGCCCGGCCTGAGAAACTCCGACCCTCAGACTAAGCCGCTTGAAACTCCGATGCTTTTGAACAGCACGTAGGACCAGCCCCCTCTGGTGGGGACACGAGTGTCCAGCAGCTTCCTGTGACGGAGAAGTTGAACACTGAGCAAGACTTTTTCAAATTTTATTTTATTATGGTAAAAAAAAAAAAAAAAAACCATAACATTAAATTTACCATATTAGCCACTTTTAAGGACACAGTTCAGTAGTGTCGAGTACACTCACGCGGTTGCGCAAAGGTGTCCAGAGCTCGTCCACCTTGCCACTGGGGTCTTTGCACCCATTAGACACTAATTCCCCGCCCCTGGTAACCCCGTTTCTACTTTCTGTTTCTATGATTTTAGTGACTTTAGATACTTCCTACTGGGGGACTCAGACAGAGTTTGTCCTTTTGAGTAGGACTGGCTTTTTTTTATTTAGCGTCACGTCCTTGGGGTTTACCCGTGTGAGAAGACTTGTCATTGGGATGCAGAGGCCGGAGACCATGCGATGAATTGAGTGATGAATCGAGCTCACACTCTCACACCGAGCTTGGTCTTTGAAATGTCTGAGGTGGCGCTGAGCCTTCTTCAGACCCCCACAGGAAGGAGGAGCTGTGGGGGGGCGGGGTGGAGGGAGCACCAGGCTTTGAGGGGCCGTCCCTCTGCTCAGCCTTGTTAAGAAGCTGAAGGAAACCTGGCTGTGTGGGCACTGCCCACCAAGGGCTTGGGGCCAGGGGCTACACCTTGGTGGGACAATGACAAAGTCTCTCCCCTCCCCCACCCTACTTACCCCCTTAGTAAGGGCCACCTGGTCCAGGAAGCCTCCCACCCTCGGGCTCTACGTCCTCTCCTGTCAACTCAATCCATTGAAAGATCAGACGAAAACCTTTTTTCTGGCCGGTGGGGTTCGTCCCAGCTGTGCCACTGCCAGAAGGGAAGGTGGGGTCAGCTGCAGACTCACAGGCTAAGCTATCATTTCCCCAAAACAGAACATAACATTAAATTTACCATATCGGCCACTTTTAAGGACATAGTTCAGTAGTGTCGAGTAAACTGAGTTGAGAAAAAGCTCTCTCATTCTTAAATAGCATATGAAGCCCTTGGGGAGCACCTGAGTAAAACCAAAGCTTCAAATAACTTGACGACTTAGCGAGTTGATTATTTGCCAAGGTGACGGTTTTGCAAAACGATCCTCTGGCTGGGCCCGGATCTAGGGAAGAATGGGGGCTTGCTGCCCCCTGGTGGCTTTGTGGCTAATGACAAGGGCAGAGGACTGAGTACTCAACTGCAGGTGAAACACCAGGCCTCCCTGTCCCCTCTCAGACTCTCAGGGTAGGGGGAGAGGGGCTGGACTTCCAGAGGCAAACAAGCCAGGAAGGCACAAGTTATGCCAGCAAGGTGCAGGCTACCAGAGCCTGGCAGTGTAGTGACTCAAGGGCTCAAAGTCTCATGAGGCAAATGCTCGGGTCAAGGAGCTTGGTCAAATGATGGTAAAGGAGACTAAACCTATGGCTGGGGTGCCATGGGAGCGCAGAGGAAGCTTTATATGCCCTGCAAGATGGAGAAATAACCATAAACAGGCCTTTTACTGTGGCGGGTCCTAAAACGGGGGAGATGACAAGATGCACAGGGAAGCTAAACCCAGGAGGGCACGTAGAAATCTCCTGGTGAAGGACACTCCAGCAGAGGGAGAATGACAAGCGCACAGCGTTCGGGTGCTGAGAGCAGCTGGGACATGGGCGGGGGGGAGGGGGGAGTAGGCTGGAGGCAGGAGGACCGGTTAGAGGCTACTGCAATGGTCCAAGCTAGGAATAAAGGACACGAACTAATATAGTGACAGTGAAAATGGACAGTGGAAAAGAGAACAGATCTGTAATGTATTTGGAAACAGTAAGAGAATTTTAGAAAGACTAATTCAGGGCTGCTATTATAATTGTGCAGGTTGCCACATCAAAGGGGGTGTCAGTCTCAGCCTAGACATTTACTTACTTCAAAAAAAATGTCATTATATGTTGTTTTAGTTCGAAGACGGGAAATATGTGTTTGCCACAGATTGGGCAGATGGCAGTAAAGTGTCTTGTAACTCGATTTATATATTTTGCCAATTTTCTGATGGAATTAAATGTCTTACTCAGAGTCCCGATTCGTTACAAGAATTATTAAGAAATAATATGCTTATTTTAAAACTTTTAACCTGAAGAATGAACACTATTTCCCGATTCACATACGGGCTGGCAGTCACCCGGGCTGATTGGCTGTGGAATAGTCTGGAATCACAGCACTTTCCAGCAGCTTTCATGGAGGTAGGGCTGTGAGAGGCTGGTGGGGTTTTTGGTTGTTTTTTTTGTTGTTGGGAGGGGCAAGCACTTCAGCATGGGGACCTAAGTCTGAGATACTGGGGACAGGACAAATATTGAGGGCAGAGAAGTCCAAAGGTCCTGACTCATTCCTCCTTCCTTTACATTATTCACACCAAACCTCTCCAAGTCAAGTCAAACAGGATAAAAATATGTTTGAATCTTCTCAAAAGTCTCCGAGTCAGGCAATAAGAAACCACCAGGCCAAACCGAGAACCTGAGCTGTGAGCACGCACAGAGAGTTCTTTTCCCCGAGGTCAGTTACCAGCCTGGGAAATGAGAATCTTTGCTTTGCAGGACTGAAATCAAAGCTCAGTGGGAGGTGTCGAAGCAAAGGGGTGCTCTTAGCTCCTCCCCCTCTCAGCCATCAGCCTTTGGTCCTCTTGGACCAAAGGAAATCGCTCAAAACCAACACTTTAAATCAGCCTCAAACACACAGGGATGTAAAGTATGGCATAGGGAATAAAGTCAATAATATTGTTCTAACTACGTATGGTACCAGGTGGGCGACTTATCGGGGCGATCGCTTTGTAAGGTATGTTAATGTCTGATCACTATGCTGTATACTTGAACCGAATATAATATTGCATGTTGACTGTAACTGAAAATTTTTTTAATTTTTAATAAAGATTAGTAAAGCTTATATTCTTCGATCTACACATTGCTCTTTAATTTATCTAAAAATAAAATTTCAAGAAGTTTGCTTAAAATAAATAAAATAAATAAATAAGCCTCAAACACTTCCCCCTCCCCCGCCTCGCCCCTGCCCGACTAACACCTAGGTGTTTTAGGAGTATCATAAAGGAAATTTTCAAAAGGCTAGAAGGATGAGGTACAAATATATTAACCTGTTATCATGGAAATCTCCTAACACAGGACGATGGTAAAGAGAAGAGCGTATCTAACGGGCTCCCGGTTTACTCTCCCCCAACTTCAAATTATCAACACGTGGCCTGTGGGGTTCCTTGTCTAGTCCCAGCCTCTCACGCCCACCCCCTGGACCATTTTGAAGCAAATCCCAGATACCGTTTCAGTCTGCATGTATCTCTGAAAAGCTAAAGAGACTTTGATTAGCATAAGCACAACCACCTCATTATCACTAAGAAAAAAGTAATTCTGTATTGTCAAATATCCAATAAGCGTTGGAATTTCCCCAGTAACATCCACATTTTGAAGACTTACTTGTAGATGGTGGCGGGCGTCTCTCCCGTCCGCTGGGAGGCTCGGAGTTGGCGCATGACCTCATTGCAGGCCTCCTCTCTTGGGTTAGGCTTCCGTGAGCAAACCTTCAATGCTGGTGTTTTGGCTAATTGTCTTTGGAAAGTTACTCTATGTTTCTTTTTATTTCCTTTTGAAAGGAACGCATGTCAGATTTCTTTGCCTCTAATTTCCTCTTCTCTGTGGTTGCCATCAACCTTCATTTCATCTCTAAGGGGACAATTTTCTTTCACAAATCTGTTATTCTGACTCATTTCCCAAACGGTACTCGGAAAAGCCTCATGGTTCCATTTATTCATGCAACAAATACTTACTGACAACCTAGATGGTCCTTGACTTTTA